AGCGTTTGCGTGCGTGCTGAACTACTAAATAAGATTGCTTTTAATTAAGAATGATACAATTTTTGCCACCGTCGACGTTTAGCAGCAAAAGTTATTTCTATCATCTTTCACGCCGCCGTTCTAACTTAAACAAGGAAGAACGCCATAATCGACTACCTCGTCTATCAGATAATCGTTACTCAGCTAAAAGAGCCAAAGGGAGATGGGGATTGTAATGCGCCACCTACCCGCGTTCTTATTATATGGCTATGTGGGCGGCTGAAAGATTTAGCATTCAGCTAACATTTTTTTCTAGCATGAAAATTGTGGGCTTCAGAGTTTTGGGCGGTTTGTGAGCGTTAGAATGGGCGTGCGCTACGTACAAAGCTACGGAATCTAAATCTGAAATTCCAATTCTCTATCTTTGATGGTTTATCGGCGTTAAAGTGGGCGTGGCAAACTTTTTATTGGGTCAATCGATAGGTATTGATGAGAACAATACATTTCAGTTAAAATTTTTTTTCTAGCATTTCAACTGGAACCACAGTTTTGGGCTGTTTGTGGGCGTTAGAGTGGGCGTGGTACTCTGACAAAACAAACTTACATGCCCAATCACAGTATTGCAGCTAGGTGTGTTAATGAATAAAGCAGAGGTGCTTTAAGCATATCTCAATCAGTCTAGCAATCCCTTAACGGGTAGCTAATAGTCGCGGCCAGCGACTACAGCGTTTTCTCTTGTTTTGTAGCTTTAAAGTAGACGAAAACGGCTTGCACCTAATAACAATTAAATAAAGCTAAAAACAGGCTTTTAAATGATAACATTTTCTTACTTATTTCTCACTGCACAACAAAACCCTTCTTAATACTCCTACCCATTTCTCCTCTATCTATATTATTAAGTAACATAATTTAAAGTAATCCGTCTTGACCGACAGTTACAATGACTTGCAGAACAATTCCCCTTGAAAATAAAGCTGGAATTCAGTTTGTTTTTAAAGCATTTCAAAGTTTTTGACGTTGGTTACCGGGTATTTGGGTTTAATTTCAGATTGACTTGAGGTGAAAGTACGCTTGCTCAGAGTACTAAACTGCAATTTGCAAACAATTGACTTATGTGCCTAACGCACACACTCAGTACTTTCTTTCAGAACTTTAAGTGATCTAACGAAAATGGAGAAATCAGGTGAGTGAAGTTTGCTCAGAGAAAATGTATTAATAAGCATTTGTTGCCCTGACAGCGCCACAGTTACCGCTGTGGAATTTTTAATTCAATTTATACATCATATTGGCCTAACACACATCAGCCTCAGTTCATGTGCACTGCCAAGTTCTCTATTTAGGCATCGTCACAATAAGAAGCGGAATTAGGGCCAAACACAAAGGCACGGCCGGCCAGCCTTTGTTTGCTGTCCAATAATAATTTTATTTATGTAGTACAACCGGATTCTCAAATAATTCATGCCATGTGTCTGTTTTCGGACAGCTTAAATCTTTTCGGCACTGAAACGTACGAATGACTTTGAACTTTATGGGAAAATGATGGTTGCCCAAGCGGGGTCCTTTCTTTTTAGCCAGGAAATATTATCTCTTCGAAAATATAAATACAAATCATGAGACATGACCTTTTGTCTTGCCCGAGAGTCAAACTAACGGGCATATCTGCCCGCACAAGAGACGGATTGGGGTCTACGACTTGTAACTTTTTACTTAGGGTTACGGTTATTTGTCCAAGTTATTATATATAATTGAGCGACTTATTCAACTGACGCACTTGTCACAAACTTATAGCCACAAGACGCATTCCATCGTGTCAACAGAGCATCACCAATGTGTCATCAAACGCATTGCCTGAATGCCTCAATTTATGTTGGATCACATTAGGGAAAAAAGCATAGCATATTTTTTCCATTGCGGCATTATTAACAATAACATGTATTACAACAACTATCTGCAAATTGCGTAGTAATTTTGCTCAGAGCTTTGCCATTTCTTTATCGGGGCTTACACAGCCACTTTCACAAAATACAAATTTAATTGAAATTGCCAGGGCCATTGCATTGTGGGGACAAAAAGCGAGAAACACTTAAAAAACAATAGAAGATACAAATTAAAGCATTAATTAGTATTTTATTTGTAACGATGGCCGATAGAGATAGCACATAGCTGACCCGGCATGAATAATTTCCTGGCCAATTGAGCGACCATTTGCACCACCACCTAATGCTGATCAACCAGCGGCAAAATCAGCACTAAAATTCTCTCTCAAGTGGATTCTAACAGTATGCTGCTAATGATGCCGCCACTGTCCATAATTCATTAGAAAAAGTAGGAAATTATGATTTATTGCACTTTGTCCGAAGAATTAAAAATTCATGAAAGCCACGAAGTCTGCCTTCGATGGAAAGTATGCTCCGTTCAAACCAAGCCAGGACCCTGATTTAGAGACGGTGATGTAGGAGGAAATGCGGGCCAAAAAGGCAAAAACTGCGAAGGCAAAAACTGCGTGGCCACTTTCGGCCACTCCACCCACAAGTGTTACAGCATGGCGGCCACAAAACTTTTGGTCTTGGTGCATTAAGTATACGCCTCGATGATGCATTGATTTTGAAAACGAGTCGCTGAAAACGAATGCTCTATTTCTGGCAATCACAAGGAACATAAGGTTAAGGTCATCATCGCAATTACACGCTTGAGCAATGTGCGTGTTTTTTACACGCCTAATAATAGGTCTTGGCTTCTGAGACCCCCTCAATTTGGACAAACCAACAATCAGATGGACAAATGCAACTGCGCGGCATTAACCAAGCTTCAGATAAGCTCGTGCTTAGCTCACAAAGCCAATGATGCGTAAGCTGAGCACTGGCCTAGCAAATAACTTTGACCGGAATACCAGAGACCAATAATATATACTTAGCATATACTTAGCACAATAACCAGTTTTATCTCTTTATCTTTTTGCTCTGTGGCGGCTAGAATTCGTTCGAGACTTTACAAAAGAAATGTAGGGAAAAGAGAGCAGCCAGACGGAAATGGGTCAAAAAGTTTCCCACTGATTTAGTCTTGTCTCAATTAACACATCCGTGGAGATCGGCCATATTCGCACATGTCATCGTAGATTTTTACAGCCGTGAGTCGGATTTGAGACTTAGTTGCTTGTAACGGCTTCTAAGAAGCTATCAAGAATGCAACTAGAAACGAGCACACATTAAATGGCAGAGAAAAGCTCAGCTTAGACGGAAACTTAATCGTCATCAGCGATGAATGGCAGTCGTAGCAGCGCAAGTGCAGACGAAAGGCGTATAATAAGCCATAATAACAAAATTACTCAATTTAGTATGCTAAAATTCGGTCAAAGTGTCAGTAGGTTCTACAGAACGCCATCATCAGCGGCGCACAGCAACCGATGACGGTTTTGCTCTCACTTTGGCCAAAGCCCCTTCGCTGCCGAACATGATATTGCGTTTTTTTGATATTAACTTATTTTCACCTGAGCGATGTCACATCGTGTTCTCTTTATCTTAGCTTGATGATGCTCTTAGCGGACCAAAAAGCATTTAAGTTTTATGTATATAAATACAGGCCGTGCGTGACAATAGTACCAACCCACTCGTGAACTTTTTTCTAGCCCGGCAACTTTCATTTTTGCCGCTGTAGAATTTAAATTTACAATGGACACAATAAAAAGTGTACCGAACGCATCAATAGGTTATTGTGTGTGTGGTTGTCTTTTTATAGCGCCTTGTTTGCTTACCCATTCATCAAGCATTCTTCAAACTTGAGAGAGTGTGCACTCGAGGCCTCAAGTGCTGCAAATACGCACAGCTTGGGGACTGCATAAAGTCCACGTGTGCTTTATCAAAATTAAAGGACAAGAATGCAATGTACAATGCATCTAAAGGAAATTGAGAGCATTCTACCTGAGGCACATGTGCACACTCGTAAAAAATAACCAGACAGAGAATGAAGTACAGATACAGATGCAGAACCAGCTTCAGGAGTGGAACGGCGATTCGATATGATATTGGGTATTATTATTAAATTGAAAGCTTCCCATTAAGGTGACCTACATTCAAATTTATCTCCAAAATACCTTGGTGGCTGGGATTGTTGTTTTGGCTTACTTTCGGTTATGCTTATTGGCTCTCTTGGCCAACGGCAACTTCTGTTGACCGGGAAAGACTGTGTCCAAAAAGCAACAGTAAGAGCAAGGCAGCAGCGGCTGGTTCTGTTTTAATGTGCTCCTCTCGCGACTTTCAATCTCTTCCATTTCAGGTCATTTTAGTGCGTTTCTTTCTTTGTCGGTTGAACTTTAGCGGAATTTATAATACCAAAGAGATATTCTGCTACTCAAGTTAAGTACTAACAAGAGAGAACGCTGTAGCTGGAATCCACCATATTAATAGACCATTTTTAAAAAGAAAGAAAAACCAAAGGCATTTGGCAGCCCAGCCAATCAATAGGTTTGGTGGTGGCACAGTCATGTTCTGGGGATGCCTTTCCTATTATGGATTCGGAGACCTCGTACCGATAAAAGGAACTTTAAACCAGAACGGATACGTTCGAATCCTTAATGACCATGCTTTTATGTCAGGAAATAGACTTTTTCCTACTTATGAATGGATTCTTCAGCAGGACAATGCTCCACGCCACAAGGGTAGGATACCGACCAAATTTTTGAGCGGCCTTAATCAGGCGGTTCTTCCTTGGCCCCCACAAAGCCCAGTCCTAAATATCATCGAAAACGTTTGGGCTTTTATAAAAAGTCAAAGAACCATTGATAAAAATAGAAAACGCGACGGAGTCATCGCTGAAATTGACGAAATTTGATCAAAATTGACCATTGAATTTGCCCAAACTTTGGTAAGGTCAATACCTAATAGACTACAAGCTGTCATTGATGCCAAAGGTGGTGTAACTAAATATTAATTATGTATTTTTATAAAATTAAAAAAAAACTTTTGTTAAAATTAGATATTAAGCTGAAATAAATTAAACTAAGTTTTGTGAATTATTATTCGGTCTCTGTTGTACACGGACGCGTTTTATATTTGCTCCTACATTTATTCGCCTAGTGTCTAAATTACCGATCTGATATATTCCCAAAGTTTCATTTTCAACTCGGTTGAGGCCGCCGTTTGCATGCAATTTAGTTATTTGTGTTAAAACCATTATCTGTATTATTATATTGGATAATAGTTAAAGACGCGGGTGCTTTGTGCATTGTTGTTGTTTCTTATTTACATTGTTGTTTTGGCGCTCTCTCACACCGTTCGCTCTGCTACATTCTCCCAACTTCAGTCACCGGCTCTCATTTTCGAGTTAACGGGTCTTTGCTGAATTGGTCTTACCGCTCTCTTTTCTTATCTTTCCTCTGCGTTTTGAAAAGCCACACAGCTGTTGCCACTCATCTAAAGCTTCCTACTTTTTCTACTTTTTCTACATTATACATTTAACTGACCTCAACTTGTAAACAAAATCTGCCTGCTGTGTTGTTGGTTGTCAATTTGTTGGTAAAATCACTTCTCGGCAGCCAATTGTTAGTTGCTGGTTATGTGAGAACATTGCGCACGCAAAATGTGCAGACTTTGGGCATAGTGCTGCCCAAATTGCTGATCGCACTAGATCTAATGCTAACCTGGACTGGACGTGCCCTACATGCCTACATATCAAAATCGATATAAGAGCATTTTTGAGGCAAACGGAGCTGGAGTTCCAGGCATTACGTGCTGGATTTACGGACTTAGTAAGTCGATTTAATGTTTGCGACTCCAACTTTAAAGGTTGGATTCTTCTAAGTCAATCTTCATTAAATATATATCGTAGTCCTACACTGACTAATGTCTCTTTACACGTTCCAGATCTCTCGACCAACCTCTCTCCTTCCAGCCCCACTGCAGGCTATGTGTCGTGCGACGAGGATGATCCCAATGGGATCGAGTCATCAACGAATGACGCCACGGGGCAATCGCTGCCAGATTCGGGGACTGTAGTTTCGCCTGAGTCATTAAGGCCTACTAACCGTTCACCGGCTGTTGCCACTTCCGGGGCTCTGCCTATAAAAAATACCCTTGCACCTCCTCCTGTCCCACTTACTAGCATGGAAAAACACGCATAGCCCTGCTCTCTCTTCTCCGGTACCACTCACTGTCATGGTACCTAGGAAATCTATTTTTGTGTCTAGGTTGAATGCAGCAATAATAGTAAATGACGTTATGCATCATATTGTCACAAACCTCTCCCTTCCCAATCAAAATGGTATTGACATCACCAAATTTAATTTTAAACAGATAAGAGATTACTCTTCATTTAAAATACTTGTTCCGGATGGGCTTTTCTCTAAACTTCTTTGCCCCAATTTTTGGCCTGCTGATATAATTGTCCACGAGTATATAAAAAACAAGGAAGAACGCTATAGTCGAGTACCTCGACTATCAGATACCCGATACTCAGCTAAATAGAGATATGCAAGTAGCAAAGCGAGATTAAAATGCGCCACCTACCGGCGGTATACAGATGTAAGCGTTTTGGGCGTTAGAGTGGGCGTGGCAAATTTTTTTTTGGACCAATCGATAGGTATTGACGAGACCAATACATTTCAGTTAAAATTTTTTTTTCAGCATAAAATTTGTGGGCATCACAGGTTTGTGGGCGTTAGAGTGGGCGTGGCATATTCGCGTGACAAACTTGCGCTGCGTATAAGGCTACGGAATCTAAATCTGAAGTCCCAATTCTCTATCTTTGATAGTTTCCGAGATATCCACGTTCATATTTACGATTTTTTGAAGTTTGTGGGCGGTTTATGGGCGTTAGGGTGGGCGTGGCAAACTTTTTTTGGGTCAATCGATAGGTATTGATAGGAACATTACATTTCAGTTAAAATTTTTATTCTAGCATCAAAACTGTAGGAGCCACAGTTTTGGGCGGATTGTGGGCGTTAGAGTGGGCGTGGCACTGTACTGAAACAAACTTGCGCTGCGTAAGAAGCTCAGGAATCTGCACGCCAAATCTCAATAGCCTAGCTCCCATAGTTTCCGAGATCTCAGCGTTCATCCGGACAGACAGACGGACAGACGGACAGACGGACATGGCTAGATCGACTCGGCTAGTGATCCTGATCAAGAATATGTATACTTTGTGGGGTCGGAAACGCTTCCTTCTGCCTGTTACATACTTTCCGACGAATCTAGTATACCCTTTTACTCTACGAGTAACGGGTATAAAAATAGCTCCCTTTCCATGACTTCTTTGTCGGCGCCCAGCTCTGATATAAATTCAAAAAACTAAATTTCCTAATTCACTATCAGAATGTTCGGGGGCTTCTTAGTAAACTCTCTACGCTTTATATAAATAGTTCAATTTTGATGCCAATGTTATTGTACTCACTGAGACCTGGCTTTACCCATCCGTACACGATAGTGAGATTTTGTCTAATAACTTTTTTGTTTATCGGAAGGATCGTCAGACCCGTCGAGGTGGAGGCGTTCTATTGGAGTCAAATCCAAATTAACTTCTGAGTTTGTTGATATTTCTGAATCATCAGGTATTGAATTTATTTCCGTAAAATTATCTTTCCCAAAAAGAAACATTTTTTTAACCTGCTCGTATATATCTCCTGGCTCTGAATTTAACGTATATCTACTGCACCTGTCCGCTATACATTCTATCTCCTTGTTGCTTACTGAAACTGACCAACTTATTGTGCTTGGTGACTTTAATCTTCCCAATATCTCTTGGTTGGAGAGTATGGAGTCATTGGCAATGATTCCTAGGATGCAAAATGATTTTATTGATGGTCTTGTTGAACTATCTTTGCAGCAAGTTAACAGGATTCCCAATCATATTGGTCGTCTTCTTGACTTAATCTTTGTTTTTGATAGTAGCGATGCTGAAGTCAGTCGTATTTCGATACTATCTTTACCTGAAGATTGTTGTCATCCTACCCTTCAGCTCTGTATTAATGGATTTTTTAATAATTTAACAGGACTGATTACGGCAGACTAGTGGAATCTTTATCGACAGTAAGCTGGTCCTTTCTAGTTGACCCTCCTGTTGATGATGCAGTTAGACACTTTTATGAGATCCTTTACCGTCTATTTGAAGAACATGTCCCTCTTTCCTCCATGAAGAATTCTTACAGCTCTCCATGGTTTACCCGTCAACTATCTTATCTGAAGAATAAAAAAACAAGACTATTTAAACGGTTCAAAATATCCGGCTTACAGACAGACTTCACCAAATATAGCTCAGCTAAGGTGGAATTTGTCCAGTACAATACTGATTGTTACAAAAATTACCTGTCTCGTTGTAAGCGGGATTTCAAAAGTAATCCTAAGCTGTTCTTCTCTTTCGTCAATTCTAAACGAAAATCTAGCTGCTTCCCTCCCTCTCTCTTTCTCAATAATAAGGTAGCATCTGATGATAATGATATTTGCAACTTGTTCGCAGACTTTTTTCAATCCACTTATACGAAATGCAATAATGTCATTATCAAAGATTATCCATACCCGCTACCTCATTTGAACTCTATCTTCAAACCAGTGATTGATGTATCTGATGTTCTTCAGAGTCTTAATACTCTCAAGCTCTTATTTTCACCGGGTCCTGATAGAATACCAAGTTGTATACTTAGGAATTGTTCATCTTATCTTGCTCTTCCCTTAACATTGATATTTAATCTGTCCCTAAGTCAATGTAGATTTCCATCCATATGGAAGGAATCCTTTATTATACCATTGTTTAAAAAAGGGAACAAGTCCGATATCTCAAACTATCGCGGTATTGCTAAACTCAGTTCTATTCCTAAACTTTTTGAAAAAATTATTACCTGTCAGTTCCAGCATCATTGCAGGTCTATTATTTCACCTTGTCAGCATGGCTTCACTAGATGTCGCTCTTCTTCTACAAACCTACTTGAATTTACGTCTTTAATTACTAGAGGTTTTCTGACACATCATCAAACTGATGTGATTTATACCGACTTTTCTAAAGCTTTTGATTCAGTGAACCATAGGATTCTTATTTATAAATTGTCCCTTTTAGGTTTTCCACCCAACCTACTAGAGTGGATACTTTCCTACCTTTCTAATAGAACTCAAATGGTCTGTTTTAATAATAAAATTTCCAAAATAATTAATGTTACTTCTGGAGTGCCACCTGGGACCTTTACTTTTTGGCTTAATGATTAATGATCTACCTTATGTCATAAAATCGTCAACTGTTTTAATGTATGCAGATGATGTCAAGCTATGATTGTCCATGTGTTTACCTAATTCATATAATGACCTTCAATTAGATCTTGATTGTTTGTATACGTCGTGCATGATTAACATGTTGAATTTGAACTATTCTAAATGTAACTTTATAACCTTTTATCGTAGTAATCCATCTCTGTACTCTTATTCTATCGGAAATAACGCCCTCGAACGTATTTTTTCTGTTCAGGATCTTGGCTTTCTATTTGATCATAAACTTAGTTTTAAAGACCATATATCTACTATAACTGACAAAGCCAGAAGTCTCCTGGCGTTTATGAAGCGCTGGTCAAGGGAGTTTGATGATCCATACACAACAAAGCTTTTGTATGTTTCTCTTGTTCGTCCGTCAATGGAATATTGCTCGTGTATATGGTCACCACAAATTAGCTGTTACCAAAATATGTTAGAGTCCGTTCATAAACAATTCCGTTTATTTGCTTTGAGAGGTTTAAGCTGGGACACAGGAAGTCGATTGCCCTCTTATCATGCGAGGTTGCGCCTGCTGGACTTACCAACCCTGAACCATCGTAGAAAGTGTCATGGAGTTATGTTTTTGCATAAATTAATTAATGGTGATGTTGACCCTCCCGTCCTTCTTAGTTCTCTCAACTGGAATGTACCCTGTAGAAGAGTTCGTCGTTTTCGTCCGTTGTCCCCGCCAATTTGTAGATCCAATTATGCCCTTCATGATCCTTTTCGCGTTCTTTGTGACGACTATAAGGCACTGTGTCACGTCTTACTGTTTGATAGCCCTAATGCAACTAATTATGATAAACTTATGTATTTTCTATCTTCCAATAATTTGTAAATTTCTATGTTACTAGCCATTCTATGTGAGCATGTATTTTAGACTGTCTATTGTTATGTCGTCTTTTTCCATGTCCGCGATTTCGTTTACTTGCCCAAATCATTGCTTGGTGTCGTAAGGGCCACTTGTTTGTACTGACCATAGTGCAAAAGAAGTTGGGATGTGCAAATAATTGTGTGTTGTGAAAATAATTTTGACTAGGGTTGTATTTGCTTTTATCAAAAGTCTACTTGGATGTTGCTAATTCCTCGAAATAGGTTCGTAATGGACCCAAAATATATTGCAAATAAATACTTTAAGCATATTTAAAAGGAATTTTAATATTAAGTTTTTTAATAGAAGCAAAAAAGTAAAATAAAAACTGGTTAATATTAATATTAAAACATCAATCTTATATGAAAGAATATCAGTTTGATATGAAACAAGAAAGGAAGTTAACTACCCATGCAGTTATATTTATTAATTTTAAAAATACAAAAAATTATATACCCAATAGTATAAGATAATATGTTAAAAGAACACCGAAGCTATAATTTGTTTCATATTATTTTCCCACCAGTTTTTCGATCATTCCTATGGCAGCTTTATGATATAGTCGTCCGATTTTAATAAAGTTTAATTCGAAATTCAAAATTAACTAAAAAATTTTATTTCCAAGCCTAGGAGGTTGTATGTTTAAAAACACCAAAGGTTTAATTTTTTAACATTTTTTTTCCGATTATTCCTATGGGAGCTATAAGACATAGTTATCCGATCCAGCTGGTTCCGACTTATGTACTACCTGCGAAAGTTGTTAGACTTTTGGGAAAGTTTCAGCCCGATAACTTTAAAACTGAGAGACTAGTTTGCGTAGAAATGGACGGACAGACGGACATGACTAGATCAACTCGTCTAGTCATGCTGATCAAGAATATATATACTTTATGGGGTCCGAAACGTCTTCTTCACTGCATTGCAAACTTCTGACTGAAATGATTATACCCTCTGCAAGGGTATGAAAATACCTGTTTGTTAAGAAAAAATATCAGTTTGATATGAACACATATTAGATTGATATAAAAGCATATCAGTTTAATACTGGAAAATACCATTATATATTTATTTATTTTATTAATATCCCAGCGCTACAAGTGCACACTTATAAATATT